ATCCTACCTGTGTGCTGATACACCTACTTGTTCCCATTTGCATGTACAGGCTTTTTAACTTTCGCTTACCCGGTTAAAGCGAGTTGTTACGTTTTGGTAAGAAGTTGGTATCTTTAAACAACGTAATATTCATTTACAAATAACAATGCGTATGTTTTAAGAACGGTCATGTTTTCATTACTATGAGACTTTGGGGGAGGCAATGTGGGCTGATGTTGCGTGAAAGGAAATTTTCTTGTGAAATTCGTGAGTTAGAAAAAGAAGCGACTGTAGCCCGAAGTTTAAGCGACAGAAGTAATTCAGCATCAAATAAAGGGCGGAAGTTGCAATGACTTCGGACACTAGGGGATATTTGCCCGTTGCTCGGCGTTTGCTGTAAGCAGATGGGCTAGTGTGTGGATATACAGATGAATACTGACACAATCAGAACTTAATTTTCACGGGATAAGGCCCGTAGGGCAGAATTCAAAAAGTTGCCTTTTTTGACCAAAACTAAAAGGGCAAGGACCATAATTACCGAGGGAAGATTTAAAGGCGTGCCGTAGTACATCAGCCCTACAGTACCTGCCCTAACTCATAAAATCTAAGGATTTTTACAAGAAAAGGCCCGGAGTACGCAAAAGCATCTCACGCTGCGTCCCCAAAAAGTCTTACAGCAGAAAAGAAAAGCCTATTCTTCCATAAAAAGAAAGCACTCTGTGGTTTATCAAGTAATATCACGTTGTTCAGAAATACTGGCTATTCTGGAAAACCGGAAAATTCCGGAAAAAAAAAATCTGGAAGAAGGCGTGTCGAGCACCAGATCAATTGGTTTATTGCCCTGAGCTTTTAAACTCTTACAGGAGTTCACGTTCAGAAATACAGAACGTGAAATGTTCTTTCTATATATAGAAAGTGGTTGCTTCAAGTTTTAAATTTAACACAATATCTACATTTATTGTTCTAATTTATAGCTCTTTTTTAACGACTCGAGAACCACGGGATTATCGAGAAATTTTTATTTTTCTTTACAAACACTTAGTAATTCCTATAGTTCTTTTAAG